CGCGAGTCCCCCTTACTGCTGCTCTATTGTTGGATGACAGGAAGGTGTTACATCATCTTGTCATGGCTATTGTTAGATGTCAGGAGGGTTTTGCACCTTCAGGTGATTGCAAACTTGTTAGAATACAGGAGTATAATAAAATATAAAATGTTTGCTGTTCCTTATTGTGTTTTTATCTTTCAGGACAAGTCTACCATCATTTCAGTGGAAGTTGCAAGGACATTTGTGAATGATCTAGCATTGCAGAAAGAAAAGGTCAACATTCTTATTCCGGGTGCTGACATCAAAAATGTTATTGGAGAAGGAGATGATATCATACAAACGCATGTGGAATCAGGTAACTGATGATGATTTTAATATTTTTGATGATGATAATGATAATTGATAATTGATATTGAAGAGATGTGATGGCTACAGAAGGTACATGATGATGATGACAATGATGATAGTGATGTTTGATAATGATGAGAGGGATAATAACAACTTTGATGATGCATGATGATGATAATGGTGCCATTGATAATATTTATGATTAGTGATGATAGAAGGTGATTATGATAATGACAAGGAAGAGGTCTGTTGATGATGTTGTTGATAATATTAATGATGTTGTGATGATAAATGACGGTATTTTACCGGACTTTGATTCATTCATATTCACAATGGCTTTAAAATGATTGTGGTACTGAACCCCTCCTTTCCATCTATCCCTATTCCTATCCCTAAGGGGGCTGATATTCAGATAATATACCTGGCATGGATTCATTCATATTCACGATGACTTCAAAGATGATTGTGTTACTGAACTCCTCCATTCCATCTATCCCTATTTCCATTCCTTTAACCCTAATTGTGCTGATATTATACCTGACATTGATTCATTCATATTCACGATGGCTTCAAAGATGATTGTGTTCCTGAACCCCTCCATTCCATCTATCCCTATTCCTGTCCCTAGGGGACTGATATCGTACCTGACATTGATTCATTCAAATCCCAGGTAACATAACAGCCTACCTGTCATCTATCATCCACCCTGACAGAAGAGTCTTCACATTTGGTGTTACACCACAATCGTATGAACGACTGGAGTCCAAGATGGAACAAATGAGTGCACACAGTATCCTTTTGTACTGGTGGCTGAAATAGCAACGCCCTTTGACACCAGAACTAGGGCTGAAGCAGTTGGGTAGCATACAACCCTGGTTTAAAGCTAGTATCAACTGCATTTTCAAAACACATTCGCGCTTTCCACTTTTAAGGGTGCTCTTGTTTGCTTGCTTGTTTGTTTGTTTGCTTGTTTGCTGATTTGTTGTTTTTTTTTGGTTGGTTGGTTGTTTCTTTGTTCGTTTGCTTGTTTGTTTGGTTGTTTGTTTGTTTGTTTGTTTGTTTGTTTCTTTCTTTCTTTTACACCCTTAACAACAATTTTTCCAGACGTCGACCTCTTGGAAGAGCATTTCCTGGATGCAGTGCCAAATGATGAACGTTTCAAGAAAGTCAAAATCATAGTTATCAACGTTCCCTGCTCGAAGTCTGGTATAGTCAACCCAGTGGACTTTATCCTCCAAGAAGGCGTTTCTGCATCTATCAAGGATCTCGCTCAAGGAACACTAGATAATAGCAAAATACGAGGACTTGCTTTTCAGCATCTCGGGATCTTAAAACATGCTATGAAATTCCCATACTTGCAAGGAATAATATACATGACAAGATCTATTCACGAGTACGAGAACTATGATGTGGTGAAGAAGGCTTTGGAGGAGACCAGAGAAGAAAGCGCAAAGCAGGGATCCTTTGAAGTCATACAAGCATTACCTAATGTGGCCAACCGCTTGAAACAAGTGGTAAGGCCCTCGTATGATCCATCAGATGAGCAGGCAATGTACAAAGGTTAGTTCCCTAATGTGGCCAACCGCTTGAAACAAGTGGTAAGGCCCTTGTATATGATCCATCAGATGAGCAGGCAATGTTCAAAAGTTAGTTCCCTATTTGGCGTGGTTTTTATCATCCTCGGTAACCCATTCTGGGGTAAAAATCTGTCGCTCGTTTCTCGCTACCCCTGGGTACACCGAGGATTGGTTTTTATTCACTAGAAAAAGCTTCTTAAATGAGATTCGTTATGCATTTGCGTAGCAACGTTAAAGGCTTTTGTCACGTTAGCGAGACTAAGACTTATAAGTTAAAGAGGTTGGAAACAATTAACACTTATTGACTCCTATCCCGCTGGGTCACTGGTGTTCTATTTTCGTATTTCAGCGTTCTTGCAAGTAGGTGTACATAATTTTTATCATTAGTTATATCATTTTATCTATCTATTTTTAGACTTGAGGGCCACAGAGTCATCAGTGTTTTTTAACTACTGTTATGTGTTTACCCTCTGGAAATAAAGCCTATTATTATTATTATTACTGCCACCGAGGGAAACAGTGTGTTTCGTGGTCCCGAGATGGCGATGTTTCACGAGGCGTTTTTTACGGGTTTTTTTAGCAACCCGGTTAGCTCAGTTGGTTGAGCGTCAATCTTTTGTGCGGGGTTTCGTGGGTCTTAAGATAACTGAGGAGAAGGTGCTGCCTTTGTAATTATACCTGCAAATGGTTAGACCTTCAAGTCTTCTCGGATAATGACTTAAAACCTTAGGCCCTGTCTCCCAACCCTTCCTAACCTACAGTAAAAATGGGGGACATAAAAGAACCTGTTGAATTATTCGTGTAAGAGTAGGGGATTGTCTCCCGGTTCAACAGCATATCCCAATTTTTGAGGTATAATACTAACTACCAACAATTTACACTCATGACTGTAAGCTGCACGGCTACTAAATAAAGGTTCAAAACATAGGGCGAGGGCTTTCATTGAAATTCAAGACCGAGGGCGCAGCCCTCGGTCTTGAATTTCAATGAAAGTCCGAGCCCGTAGTTTTGAACTGGTTTAATAACCAGCCATGCCCCAATTCTATTGTTTTAATGGGACAGGTCTTGAATTTCAAATTCAAAACCTGGCCCGGGTTTTGAATTCAGCCCCGCTCTCCCCTGCTGATAATCAAAGCCGCCGCCCACGGCTTTAAGAATGTAGGTCTTACTCTGGGTTTCAAAACCTACATAAAACAATAGAATTGGGGCGTGGCTGGTTATTAATAGGGCCGTAATATATAGCCCGTAATGTCCTCCTCGGGTCATAAACGTGAAGCGCATTGAGATATTTGAAATGCGCTATATAAGAAACTCCCATTCTTACTCCCATTCTTACTCCCATTCTTACTCCCATTATTTAAGTTTGCTAACCAATTGTGCATGACTTTTTCGATAGTTGATGGAAAATATATACGAATGGAGCCATCGTCGTTCATGAACGGAGGATTCGTCGCGTTGCTGAAGAAACAGGTATGAAAATAGATTGATTATTTGAGACAATTGTTGACCACAGTATTATGTTATTCGCCATTTACTAGTATTTCTTCAGCTATCCTTTTTCTAAGTGACCAAGGTTTTGTATAACATTGTCCATCGAGGTCGAGGAAAGGACTAGTCTCCCTCGCATCCGTTTTTAGTGTAGGTCGTCACGCAACATGGGGAGGGAGCGTTGCGTGACGACCGACACTAAAAACGGATGCGAGGGAGACTAGGAAAGGACTGGGTCGAGTTGGCATTGCAGTGCATTGTGGGACTGTAGTAAGGGGACGAAATAACCGCCATCTTGGAAATATGTCCCCACGATGCATTGTAATAATGCAATGATCCAGTTTTGTCCTCAACCATGGATTGGCCAATGAGTAAGTGCTCGGTAATGTCCATACCATACATGCTAGCATGTAGGGCAGCAACAAAGGATGACTACTTCTGTCTGTAATAGTTGTTGTTAAGGATGACAACAGGCAACATACACTGACTGAGTTGCGCAGCGCGCGCAAATGTATTATTTAATTGTTACACTCGTTCTGTCGAAACGGGCAACAACGAGTCCGCGTATTTTTTGTGTATATGTGTTGCAACTCAGAACCAAATAAAGAGCACAATGAAATTAAGGATTAGAGCTCTCAAGTTTTTCTTCTTGCTAACACAGAAAGTGGTAGAGTCTGCACACGATGTCCTGGAGAGAGCAGCCAAAAAGGGCCTAATGAAACCAGCTAAAACCAAAACCCCACGCGCACAGAGCGGCAAGACAAAGCGTCTAGAACATGCCCACAAGCCACGTCCTACCCCATCACTGCCGATGGCCAAACTATCGATAACAGAAAAACCCGCTGTGGTAATATCAGATTCTGAACTCGATACTGATGTCAAAAACCCGCCAAGGAAATCTTCGACTAAAACTAAAAGTTGGCATGGCTCGGATGAGAATGTGTCAGAAGTTAAGGAAAAGGGTATTAAGGCTAAAAAATCTAACGAGAGGAAATTTAAATTTTAAAACCGAGAAAAGAAAGAGGGGACTATACTGTCTTTCAAGGTCAGGAATTCCTTGGGTGGGTGGGGAGGGGGAAAAGATGTATAAATTGATTTTGATTTGTTTACGCGATGTTTTTGATGTAACATAAAGTAGTAACGAGTGCGTGGGGTCTGACACATACTCCCTACAGGAATGAACTGCTATCTGTGTGAAGTTCCTGTGTTTTCGTTTAATTAGATATTGATGATGTGACATTAGCAGGTAAACAGAGGAGTCTTTATTTTTAGGTATTATTCACACCTATGTGATTGGTATTTTATGATGGAAAAAGATAAATCATGACTATTTACAGATAAGCTAAAATTGGAAATAAATATTGAGCTTCACGTCAATTTGCATATCGATTTGACTCTAGGGTTTTGGGAAACATCTGACGTTGAATTCTTGAATTGTTGATTTGGTACGGTTCACAGTTCTATTAACGATGATAGGGCAGAAAATCGGGTTCTACTTTCGACGTTTATGCGTTAATAAGCTTTATATTTCATAAACAGGCTCTTTTGGGGCTGATTAACAAAATACCAAAATTTGCGGGGAAATTTAAGGAATGCGTATTGGAGATATAACGCCCTGAACGTTGGGAGAGATGATATTTCGATCAGCACAAAAACTAACATTTTTGCTAATACCTCGAAGTAGAATTGCTCAAGGTTAGCAGAATTTTGTGAAAAGTTTAAAGCACAAGAGACACGAATGAAACACTTAACGTTTTTTAGCATGAATGAGAGAGAAAAAAAAATTGCGAAAGTGTAGCAGCGTTGTCGTTTTTCTGCTCTGTCATTAACGATAACATCGGCAGGAACCGCCGCAGTACTAAACCTGGCAGTATTTATAGCAGTAACACTTTGCTTATTGTTGTTGCCTGTTTTCATTTCTGCTGTTTCAAAACAACAGGAATTAAAAGAGACAACAACAATAACAACAATTAGACTCGGGCATATCGAACTTCATGCCTTACAGGTGCTGGCACAACCGGTCAATGATCTTATCAATCAAATACAGTCAATGTCATTAAC